AGGGCAGATGTTGGAGGTCTCATTCAGACCAGACCAGTCTGTCCTTCAGTCCTGGATCTTCTCTGCTGGATGGGAGCAGATGTTCTAAAACCTGTTTATATTTTCCAGCGTTGATGGAGTCTTTCCAGATGTATAAGCTGCCCATGCCAGAGACACTAATGTACCAACATATCATCAGAGAGGCAGGCTTTTGAACTGAGAGCAGATACCAGGCTGGATGGTCCCTCTCCTCTTTAGTATGGGGAATGTGGCGTCCATGTTTTCTGCAAATAATTTCAAATTTAGATCCGTCTGACCTCAGAACAGTTCTGGACGTCACCTCAGTCCATTTGAAACGAGCTCTGGTCCAGAGGCCGTTCTGGATGATGTTCACATCTGGCTTCTTCTTTGTCTGATAGAGCTTTAAGCAGCATCTATGGATGAACTGTGTTCATATGATCTGTGGAAGTGTTCCTGAGCCCAGTACAAAACCAGAACCAGGTCTGGTTCTAATGAAGTGTGGCCCCTGAGAGCCTCGTCCTTTGAGCTCGGAGATTCATCAGATTCTTCTAATCTGTGGATCAGATTATGAACTGGAGATGATGGAGATTCACACATTCTGTTTTTATTTACACTTTTACACACGACCTGAAAAAGAACCTGAAGCAAACCATGTTCAGTTTCTTCTTGGTTGAACACCTGAACGTTTCCGTTTTCCTGAACAATTCTCACTGGGGGGTAACCTTAACTAAAGAATGCAAACGCAGCCTTGCGTTGCTTTTTAGACAGGAACAGGTTTTACCTGAGCCGTGGCAGCGTCCACCACCTTCTTACTGACGAGATCGGACTTGTTTCCGACCAGCAGCCTGGAGACGTTCTCGCAGGCGTAGCGGTCGATCTCGTCCAGCCACTGCTTCACGTTGTTGAAGGACTCCTGGGGGAAGGACGCAAAACACAAGAAGCTCTGAGTTTAATCTTCAGACTTCTTAAGAAACAGGCGAGATAAAGTCTCTGACCTGTTCGGTGACGTCGTACACAATGATGATGCCGTGCGCTCCTCGGTAGTAGCTGGAGGTGATGGTTCGAAACCTCTCCTGACCGGCTGTGTCCCACTGAGGACGTCCAGACAAACAACACTGCGTCAGACGGTTGGTTGATGTTTATGAGGGAGTCTTCAAGCGTTCTGCGACATGTCTCGGATCCTAATGTCCTCACGGGAGTCGGAGGCATCTAGTCGCTTGAATTTTAAACAATTTTTTAAAATTGTGCAACGAACTTTCTCTTGAAATAGTCTCCGAGTCGTTCCATCTTCAACCTGTCTGCAGGAAAACCTGTCGTCCAACATTTACGCCAGCAAACATCATACCGGTAGTTATTGAAAAGCCGGTCTGCTAATCTTCATTTCTAAGATTTCCTTCACAACAAATTTGGATTGCTGCCAAAGATGCAGGTTTTTAAGCTTGCAGACAAAAATGGACTTTATATTTAATAAACTGGTCGTTCCAAATGTGTCTGCGCGGCTCACCGGTCACTCTGTCAGAAACACTGCTAACACTCACAGCTCTGTGAGGTAACACATTGAGCTACAAGTAGTTATTACAAGCCTTAAAGAAAAGGTCATGTGACACTAGGCCTGTCGCGATAAACAATAAATCAATTAATCGCAAGATAAATGAAAATTATCGACCTCGTTTTCATTTATCGGCTTTACCGTTTCTTCGTGTCTCTCTCTTTCTACTGAAGACACTGGATGAGAAAAGGCTCAACTCCGGTTCTTCACTGACCCCTCTCTTTCTCTTTAAAATCCGTTTTAACGACCCAAAATCACGTTTCTGGATCGTTAAAAGCAGCTAAGCTACGAGCTAAGCTAACAGGCCGACCTCTAGAAGAAAACCTCCGTTTTGTGGAAGCTCCAAAAATTCACAGTTGAAACTCGTGCCTTTGTGTAAAAAGTTGTTTTTCTCAGCAAAAAGAAGCTGAGAACTCGTTTACTGATTTTTTAAAATAAAAGCTTTGTGTGAAAAATGCTACGCTAAAGATGAATAGACCGGCTGTTTGTGTTATTCACTGGACACTTTAGACACCGTGTGTTCACTTTTTATATATATTTTATACTTTATTCACATCATATATCTATTTCTGTGTGTTTTATAAACTGTGCTCACTAATATATTTTATCAGATAGAGTTGGAATACTTGTTTTCTTCATGTAGTACAGCACTGAGCAGGAAGGAGGGGCCCACTAACTTGTTTCTCTGTAGACAGAAACAAAGAACAAAGGTAACTTTCGAGACTGGCACCAAAAGCCAGTTCAAACTAGTTTTTACTTGAAAGATAAGAAATATGATGGTGTGGTTGCCATGGTAACCAGAGATTGATTAGATGGTCATCCAATAGGGGAAGGGCCTCCTCCGAGGAGCAGGCGGGTTCATGAAGGGCTTATATTATCCTACAACAGGAAGTAGCGTCAGACAATCTTGAACAGAGCGACTCCTCAGGTGAAGTACGCTGCTATCGTCTCCTGAAATGCATTTCGGACTTTTGTTTTCGTAATGCTTTAACTGTGGTGTGTATAAAAATTCTCTTAAACTAAGGTGAGGTCTCCTGTGAGTTGCCTGGTCCGGTCTACGAACACGCGGAGGGAAGAACCCCTCCAACACTAAAAAGCTCAAACCACGCCGAGCATCTGCCATTTTTAGAACCAAACAAAAAAGGAAAGAGAGACAGCCCATGTCACGTCAAGGGGCCTCCCTCCCATTTTTCTTAAAGAGGCACGCTGCTCGCTCCCTCACTATCCATCCTTCGGTTCAAATGGTCTTATACTGCCATCCAGTGGTAAAAAAAAAGGTACTACACACAAATAAACAACATTTCTTCTTAAATGTGATATTGTCACATTTCCAACAATATTATCATTTATTGCAATAATTTCTGAGACAATTAATCGCCCAGCAAAATCTGTTATCGTGACAGGCCTATGTGACACCATGACTGTGTGTGTGAGAGTAGGCGGGGCTTAAAGCCCCAAAACTCTAGTGCACAGACTCTGGTTCCAAAAATACAACATGACAGCTTCTGTAAAACTGTTCTCGTTTGCTTTAACTCTGAACAACCAGAGAATTTGAAGAACTTGGTTTGTAATAAATATAGTTAGACCAGTTCAAACGACATTAAATGAGCAGTTTTTGAAGGATTGCACATTAACTGCTGCCTTTCATGCCAGGATTTGAAGTAAAAATCTTGTGTTTTGGATGAAGGCAGAAAATTTTCATGTATTTATTTATTTATATTTTTAATTTTGGTTCTTTTAAAGCTGCAGGATTTATCTGACAATTGTGACAGAATAATGGATAAATGAAAAATGTGCCATTACTTTTAATTTAACTCACTTTTTTTTTACAACATAGAAATGAGAGTCATGTTTTTGTCACCTTGATCCAAAACATCTGCGCTGTTCTTTGTTTCCTGCAACCCTCAGAGGGCACTCGGACGCTTAGTTTACATCAGCTATTTAAATTTAATTTAAAGTTCATCAGCCAACATGATGGGGCATCCAAACAAGAATTTATTTCTTTCCATCACACCAACGGTTTATTTTAAACTCACAATCTGCAGCTTCACGGTCTTTCCGTTCATGTCGATGGTCCTGATCTTGAAGTCCACTCCGATGGTGGAGATGTAGCTCTCGGTGTAGGTGTCATCCTGCACCAAGTGGCTCACAGTTAGACCTCCAATTACAGCATATTAATAAAATAAACGGGTCTCAACCATCCCTACCGCGAAGCGCAGCAGCAGACAGGACTTCCCAACTCCAGAGTCACCGATAAGAAGAAGTTTGAACAGATAGTCACTGAAAAAGACACGCGAGAAGTGAGATGGCAGCTTTTAAAACCAGAGACGAAGGACCTGGTCCCAGCTGAGGACCAGAATCTGTCAATATTCATCAATAAAACACATAAAGTGACCTTGGTTTTTAAATGTAATATGGCAAATTCTCCAGGTATAAACAAAAATATATTTTTCCCTAAGACGTATTTCCATATTTTATAGCCATCCATCATTTTATCTATAAAAGATCCTACATACAGTACAAATCCAACGTTATAGCCAATAATTAAAAAATAAAAACAAACTACGTGTTTACTGCAGGTTCACCAGTAAACATTTCATAGGCATCAACAAATAAAATATTAAGATTACTAAAAAAAATAAAACCATCTTCTTGGCTGCAAAGTTTTACTCACTGTCACAAGAAATTTGCATTAAAGTTCATTTTTTTATTTTGTTTTTGTGTTAAATAAGAATAGATGGAGATTTGACCTGTCTCAGAGAGGTGGGCCGTCCTGATTCATTTTAAATGTCAAATCACCGGCTGGATAAAATGGTAACAAGTGCCATATCTGGCCCACGGGCCTTGAGTTTGACACATGCTCAAAAGACTACAATACCCATCATCCCCAGGGGCCTAGTGATCCAACAACAATGAAGTTACAACAGATTCTGAGTCAATAGAAGCAGTTGGATTGTCTTGGTGTGAAACCACAGAACTGAAGCATTTCATTAAATGTTCTGAAGGTTGTTGATCTGACAACAAAAAACAACAACAAACAACAACAAACAACAACAAACAAGGCCCGGCTGCTTCACCGTTTTAAATTCCATCCTCACTGTCCTCATCTGCAGCCTCTGCTGTGTATTTCAGTGTGTACTGCACAAATATTTGTACTTAATCTAAAGCGTAACACACAGTAACAGGAGAACACTTACTACTCAGGATTCATGGTCGGCGAGGTCGCTCCGCACAACAAGATCCAATCAACTTCCTGAAATTAGACAAACACAACGTCAGATGTTCTGGATGGATCTCGTCTGACGAGCCGGTCAGTGTGTGTGTGAGTGTGTGTGAGTGTGTGTGTGTCCTCCAGACGACAAAACGGCAGAAGAAACTGTAGGTTTCTGCCTCAGGAGCTTCACGTGTTTTATTTATTGATAAGGTTCAGCTTGGGTTACACTGAGGACAGCACCTGCAGCCAACACACACACAAACACACACACACACACACACACGCACACACACACACACACACACACACACACACACACACACACACACACACACACCCACCCACGCACGCACACACACACACACACACACACACACACACACACACACACACACACACACACACCACCTGACCACGTCTGCTGTCACCTGATCAACTGTAGCAACCAGCAGGAAGTTGTTCCCTCGGAAACATTAAAGAAGGTTTCATTCATTTCTTCCTTTTATTCGTTTTAGTTTTGGGACCTTTGGGTCCAGGAGGGAACCCCAGACCTTCTTCTGCTCAGCAACACTCCCCAGCTCCTCCTGGGGGTCTCAGGAGGTTCAGAGGACACAGAGTCCCTGCAGGGAGTTCTGGGTCTGCCTCGTGGTTTCCTTCCAGTGGGACGTTCCCAGAAACCTCCACCTCAGTCGACATCTTTGGATGAGGAGGAGCGGCGGCTCGTCTCCGGGCTCCTGATCTCTGAGCAGCAGAGCTGTTCGAAGTTTTCCTTTTCAGGATGGTCTGTGCGCACCTGTGCACACCTGTGCACGTGTTCGTAGTTGAGCGATCCACTCAGAAAGCTACATGGTGATGCTTCTGCTCAGAAGACAAGAAGAAGAAACCAAAAGTCCATGTGGCTGCTTAATATTTAAGTCTCCTCACTCAGTGATGTCACCAAACAATCCATCATGTTGTTTTCTTCTGGTCCTGGATGGACACTCAGGGGACAGCGCGCTTGTCCCCTGAGTGGACTGGCGTCCCAGTGTCTCAAGTGAACCGGACACAGAAGCAGAAGCACATCTGATCCCTGCAGAGGAAGCTGCTGGTACCCAGGGCTTTGTGTTGGATCAACTCATGAAGTGATGGTTGGACCGTGGATTCAACTCAACTCACAAATACTTGATTACTCCCAAAGGGAAATTGTTGTGACTCATCCTGGTTTCATTAAAGAGTTGTTCTAGATGCTGTCTGCATCTGCAGCAGTCCGTCTCACAGTGGAGCCAAAGAAACTAGCTGCAGATGCCGATCCGTCCACCTGGACCCAGCAGACATCTTGGGGAGCAGGACTGCCTGAGTACTGGACAGATCTCCTCCCCAAGCGATGGCCACTCCTCCCAGCAGCCTGCCGAGCACCTTGTCCCTGCAGATAGAAATGCCGGTGTCAAGGGACGAGTCCGGTCCTCTCGATGTCACGAGCCGTGTTTCCCGCCACCTCCAAGATCTCGGAGGTCAGGCACTCAAGCGCCGCCACCAGGTAGATGGGAATGCATCCATGGCACCTCCTTTTTCAACTCATCTAGGATTTGGAGCTATAGCTGAGATATTATATGAGCTTGTGAGATGTTAATCAGCTGCTCCCAGTTGTAGAAAACCACCTTGTTGTTCTGGTTACGCATCGTAACAAATGTCCAAAAATAAAAAGGTTTCAGTAAAACTCCTTCCAGCTGCACAGCATCCGATACCAGAGGAAACAATCATCCGACAAAAGCGATTTACCTACAGAAAAAAGAGGAATTAAAGTTTTCAAATGCAAAATTTCAGAATGAACGTAATAGAGCTGCTCCAACAATGATCCAAATGAGTCCAGGACGGAGTCGTTAAACCACTTATTGAAACGTGAAATGGACTCCTCCTCGTGGACAGCGTTTCTTTTTGATCTGAAGTTGCTCATGTTGCGTTTTGATCATTATTCTCAGTTTATTTTAAATCTTCCTTCAAAGTTTGGATTTTCCTCCACGGTTTCTGCTCCTGTTTAATCTTTCTTTCCTTTCCTTAAACTGTTTGAACCAAAACTAACTTGTCTTGATACGTTTTCTCTCTTTTTCTTCCTTTCTTTTTCACTTTTGGCGCCTTGCTTTGGTCTTCTGTTACAAATAAAGTCCAGTTGTTTTTGTTTTGAACGTTTTTTGAACTCGTCATGTCCTGGATGACTGAGAATCTTCACCAGCCTTGCTTTGGTATTTCTTGGTGTTTATTTGGCGAGTCGAGACGAGATGATGACCTTGTGTTGATCTGCATATGACAATAAACCTAAACATTATTCATCTCCTCGTTCTCTTCCTTTTGTCTCCTTTATTCATTCGTCTGTCTCTGTGTCTTCACTCATGATCAGTCTGTCCCGCTCCTGTTTTTGTTTTCATTGCATCAACTTTATTTATTTTTTGCCAAGCATTTCTTAAATCAATCTAAATATTTCTCCTTTGTTTCTTGTTTTCTCCCCATTCTTTTTGTTTGTTGCTTTTCTTTTCTTTTTCCCCCGTTTAATTCTCCATTTAGCATCCCCTGCCTTTTCTCTTCCTCCCCTCTCCAGTTTCTCCTCCTCTTTTTCAGAGCTGGGGATTTGTTTTGTTCAGCGTCGGCTCCCGTGTGTGACCCTTTGGTCACGGGAACGAGCCGATAGCCGAGGGCCGAGGGGACGTGCGATGGCTGAGCAGCTGTGCTGGGGTCAAAGGTCGGCGGCCCTGATGATGGCCTGTTGCCGGGGCGGAGGCGGCGCCGTAGCTGTTGCCACGGCAGCAGCAGGGTTTTCTGAGCTCCCAATGCCACACAGAGGTGGGAAAACTGGGGGAAGGGACCAAGAGAAGGAGACGAAACAAGGAGAAGGAAATCAACAAAGGCAGGAGGTTGGAAAGCAAGAAGGAGGGCGGGAACAATAAAAAAACAAACCCGTACAGCTCGGAGGTTTGATTAGTTTGTCTCCAGCACGAACACATCAGTTGGTTTTCTGAAGGACAAATAAGTAAGATTTTGTTGTTTAATTAGAAAATAAATAAAATAATTGTTGGAGAAAAATATTCTCGCTTTATCTCACTTACTCAAAAGGAGCCACACTCGACAGCAGGAGAAGATTTTTAGCTGGTTTTTACTTGCAAGGACAGATTTTCAGGACAAGTTGCACAGATATACAGGAAGTACACCCAAGTATACAGGAAGTGCACCCAGGTATACAGGAAGTACACCCAAGTTTACAGGAAGTACACCCAAATATACAGGAAGTACACCCAAGTATAAAGGAAGTACACACAGGTATACAGGAAGTACACCCAAGTACACAGGAAGTACACCCAGGTACACAGGAAGTACACACAGGTATACAGGAAGTACACACAAGACATACAGGAAGTACACACAAGACATACAGGAAGTACACACAAGGTACACAGGAAGTACACACAGGTACACAGGATGTACACACAAGGTATACAGAAAGTACACACAATGTACACTGGAAGTACACACAGGTACACAGGAAGTACACACAGGTATACAGGAAGTACACACAAGGTATACAGGAAGTACAACCAGG